TGGCGGTCAGTTTCAGCAGTGGCTGAATCTGGACGCCAGTTCCGACTTACATATAGATTCAACTTAAGAACAAACCTACTGTCCCTATCTTGTACGTAACCCGGGGACTGCCTGTACCTTAAAACCTTCTTCTGGAAGAAAGGTTATCCCATGGAAAATTTGGTTACGGTAGGTCTTATGGTGTCCAAATTATTAGAGCACAAACATACAAACAGTCTCCTTTATATTCTGGACGCCAGTTCCGACTTACATATAGATTCAACTTAAGAACAAACCTACTGTCCCTATCTTGTACGTAACCCGGGGACTGCCTGTACCTTAAAACCTTCTTCTGGAAGAAAGGTTATCCCATGGAAAATTTGGTTACGGTAGGTCTTATGGTGTCCAAATTATTAGAGCACAAACATACAAACAGTCTCCTTTATATAGTTGATGACCAGAAAGTTAGTTAAAAGCAATGCCCAAAGCAGCCTGACACTAGTAAAAATGTTCCTGGTTTCAGAGGCTGATGAAAATGTGTGTTGTGCTTGTGTTTTTTTAGCAGCAAAGTTAACACTAAAGAGTAAGGTTACATTTTCTATCTTTGGTATTCTTTTCTTTCCCTTTTTGTGTGTGTTTTGTCTTGTTTCCCCCTCTCCTTTAGGAAATAAGTTTGAACTTCAGCAATAGAAACAACAAGTACTCCATTCCATCTCCAGTTAGGGTATGTCTACACTACCCCGCTACTTCGAACTAGCGGGGGTAATGTAGTCATCCGCAATTGCAAATGAAGCCCGGGATTTGAATTTCCTGGGCTTCATTTGCATGAAGCCGGCCGGCGCCATTTTTAAATGCTGGCTAGTTCGAACCCCATGCCACGCGGCTACACGCGGCACGGAGTAGCTAGTTCGGATTAGGCTTCTAATCCGAACTAGCTGTACTCCTCGTGGAATGAGGAGTACAGCTAGTTCGGATTAGGAAGCCTAATCCAAACTAGCTAGTCTGTGCCGCGTGTAGCCCTGCGGCACGGGGTTCGAACTAGCCGGCATTTAAAAATGGCACAGGCCGGCTTCATGCAAATGAAGCCCGGGAAATTCAAATCCCGGGCTTCATTGGCAATTGCGGATGACTACATTACCCCCGCTAGTTCGAACTAGTGGGGTAGTGTAGACATACCCTTACTTTCTATCCCCCTCAAGAGCTGTTATTACTACTTTAATACGATTTAAAAACTATGAAACAAGGCTTTTTTTTCTTATAAAAAACTGTTTAAAAGAAAGCAAAAGTGACCAACGGATATTATTAAAATTAAAGTCTTCATACTTCCATTTCAAATGCTTTAACTGTGTTTCCTTATTTTATAGCTTTCAGGATAGTTAAGCACCAGAATACATTACCTAGGGAGATACGGAATTTCCATCATTGGAGATTTTTGAGAGCAGGTTAGACAAATGCCTGTCAGGGATAGTCTAGATAGTGCTTGGTCCTGCCATAATTGCAAGAGACTGTACTTGAGGATCTCTCAAGGTCTCTTTCTGACCTAAGATTCTAGTATAGTCTGCAAGTCTCCCTAAATTATGCTTGCTGCCAACCACTTCCAGGGGTCATCAAGATATCCAAGATTCAATGTGTCATAGGGATGCTTTTCTAATTTTGCTCTCTTTTACCTGAAAATGGCAGCAGGATATAATAGATGAATAACATTTAGATACAAATCATATTTGAAAAATGTAACCTGAAAATATGAAATGTTTGCTAAATTTATACAGAAAACCAGAAATAACAACTGCAACTATTTTATTAATTTAAAAAGCAATTGCAAAACCAGAGAAAAGTAAACATTTTTTATTTTTTATAATTATGCTTGTCCTGCTTTAACATATAATTTTTTAAATTGCTTTATTGATTTCAGTGGCAATTTGCTTGTGTTGGGAATGCAGAGCTAAATCCTTTGTACTGTGCTGTTGAATTATCAATAATGTCACTTGAATATTGTTGTTACCAGATTACACTTTTGCTTTGAAAAGACTATATCACTTATGTTTATCAATTTTCTGTCATCACCATATGTTATCTTTAGCATTTTCCTTTTTGTAGGCTATTTATACATTGTAATTTTTTTTAAAATTAATTGAGCAAATCCTTGATAAATTCTGCCCTCAGTTACTCTAGTACCATCCTGTTGATGTAGATGATTTGCATAAGATTTTATGTGAAACACGACATTTTTAATACCATGAGATACAGAAAAAAAACCAATAGTTTTAATTTGAAGTAGTCACTCAAAATGTTTGCAAGAGCAGGGGATTGTTTTTGTATCAGTACTTCCATTTTGCTCAAGGAACAGCTAGAACACATGCCTATCTGAAAGTTCAATAGCTCTGATGGCATATATTTTTACTTTTAGAAGAAAAAGTTGTATTCTGATCTAAACTCTTCAAACTTTGGAATCCAAGATTTTGGATCCTCATAGACATCTATTTCTAATTTCTAAGACCCACTTTTTGAATTTTAGTATCTCAAATAGCACACCAAAATCGGCTAACATTAGTTTAGCATAAACCATTTGTTAAAGTCCTGACTCAGTGTTGGATATTTATTATCACGTTAAGGACTCAGTCCTCTTTCCAGTGAAGTCAATTTTCTGTTTTGAACAGGTTCATAAAAATATTAAGATTTTAAAGTCTGAACTAGACTAGGCACATGTAGAGCAGGAGATGTTCTATTTCTTTATTTCTTCTGTTAAAATGCTCTTTTCCATGTATTCAGTTTCAAAATCTCTGTATAAATGGCAACTTATAAAGTTTTGTAGATAATACAAATTTTGAGTGCAAACAGAATAACAAAATAACAAAAGTTGATTTTCCAATAACCGAGAGATTGGATTCTACAATAAAAATAGCATAAGTATGTTGAGTTCTTATTTATTCTTTGACTTTTACAGATTTAATAATATGTTACTTTAGCTGAAAAAAATAATGTACTTTTTCTATGTCCCAGAAATAACAATGCTTTTGCTAAAACAATGTTAGGGCACGTTGAAACAACATTCCTTTTTCAAAAGAGGAATGTAAAAGAAGCCGATCAAAAATTTGAATGAAGCATGGATTTACAAATCTCACGCTTCATTTGCATAATTGCGCAAGAACGCTTTTTTGAAAAAGCATGTTTTGAAAAAGAAACCGCAGTCTAGATGTGATTCTTTTGAAAAAAACAAACAAACCTTTTTCGAAAGAACCTGTGCTCCTGAAAAAACGAGGTGTACGGGTCCTTTCAAAAAAGTTTTTTTTTTTAAAGAACCCCATCTAGACTCCGGTTTCTTTTTCGAAAAACCCTTTTTTGAAAAAGCACTCTCGTGCAATTATGCAAATCTGCACTTCATTTGAATTTTCGATCAGCTTCATTTACATTCCTCTTTCAAAAGACAAATATAGTTTAAACATAGCCTTTCATACTTAAGTTGGTTCTTTGCTGCCTTGTGTTTCCAGTGCTAATAAGAACACATATATTGATTTTTCTTTATCACCCTCTAAAAATCTGTGTTCAAGTCTAGACAATTGATGGTGGCATTTCACGACTGCCTTCCTTTTGTGTTTCACAGGTTGTCAGCAGCTGGACATCCCCTGACACCTCAATGTGATATGGACTCCAGTAGCTCTGAGGAGTTCTATCAGGCAGTACACCATGCCGAACAAACCTTCAGAAAGATGGAAAGCTACTTGAAGCAACAGCAACTCTGTGACGTTATCTTGATTGCCGGGAACCGTAGGATACCTGCACATAGGTAGGACATTAAAACGTGCTATTGAAATTATTAAAATAAACATCTGGGACCAAATTGTCTATTAATCTGCACCTTGGCAAGTCACTTATGAAGGAGCAAAGTGGTTGCAAAACCACCATTCTGATTATAGTGTTTGACATCCAAACTAAAAACTAAGTTTGCTTAAGTAAAAATTACCACAGAAGGCAGTACCTGAGGATGAGTCCTTACAGGTGTCTTTTTCCCAATATAGAATATTTATGGTTATGATTAGTCATGACAGACATATACATTTCAAAACAATTAGTTAAACCAAAATATGCATGTAAATGAATAATTCTGAATACTGAGCTTCTCCTGAACTGTAAACCTGAATAGGCAGAAAGTATAGATTAAAATTAAAAATGACAGAAGCTACTATTTGTCATAATTATTCATGTAAATATATATAGGCATTATAACAAAAAAAACCCTAACTTCATTGCATAGGGGAATCTTGGTCCAGGGCAGCAGACTTAGATGACAGTTTTCTTAGGTTGTCACTTTCAATTACACTGAAAAATTCTCCCTGTTCATTGAAGGTCTGATTTCAGAAATGACCACTAGTTTTGTTGCAGTAAAACAGCTCTCATGATGGGGAAAAGTACTGGGCTTGAAACCGCTCTGAAAAAATGTTTCTGTATTAAGCAATTTATTTGAGCTTGTAATCAACCCATCAGAAGAATACATTTCAAAGGTTCACAGAACTATAAAGGGAGGGGCAGTAAACCCCAAGTTATCTTTCACTTTAAGGAGACAAAACAAGTGATTTGATTTTGATGATAGGTCCTTGCCAGGCCAGCCAGTAAAAGGCTGCAAAGGAGACTGTGGGGGAGAGAAAAAAGTCTTGAACAAAGACAACCTTGCTAAATTAAGTTTTAGATTCTAAATGAATGCTTTCATTTTCATTTGCTGATAACTATCTCTAGTGTTATTTTCTTTTATTTAGTACTTTTTAATCCATACTCTTTTATTAATAAACTTGGTTTGCTTTCGTTATATATCATTGCTGGATGAGTTCAGTACAGTATTCCTGTGTCTACATTGGCACCCCTTTCCGGAAAAGGGATGCTAATGTAGACTTCGGAATAGGCAAATCCGCGGGGGATTTAAATATCCCCCGCGACATTTGCATTAACATGGTTGCCGCTTTTTTCCGGCTTGGGGAAAAGCCGGAGAAAAGCGCCAGTCTAGACGTTATTCTCCGGAAAATAAAGCCTTTCAAGGAGGAATAAGAAATCCTCCAGAAAAGGCTTTATTTTCCAGAGAATAACGTCTAGATTGGCGCTTTTCTCCGACTTTTCCCCAAGCCGGAAAAAAGCAGCAGACATGTTAATGCAAATGCTGCGGGGGATATTTAAATCCCCCGTGGATTTGCCTATTCCAACATGCTACATTAGCATCCCTTTTCCGGAAGGGATGCCAGTGTAGACGTAGCCTATGTGTTTCTGGTATTGGAATATTATTGTACTGTCTCTGTAGAGTCAGAAAACCTAATACATTTCTATTGGACTTCTGTGAGATTGACTGCAGGGAGGGCTCGTTAGGTCTGAAAAGGTACTAATGTCAGCCTGCAAGCAGTATCCAACTTGGGCAAAGCCAGAGTGAGGCTTATGGGCTGATGCCAGACTTGTGGGTTTGAATTCTGAATCACAGCTGCATAGTCACAAGAAACATAGGGTTACAATGTAGTTGGTTTTTTATTTCATGGTCAATCTTATATTTATTAAAGTACTTTTCCAGTTCCAAAGGGATTTAGATATGCTGTAGAATCAGGATGACACATGTGAAATCCAATTTACCACTGGCACATATGAATACAAATATGCACATCTGTCTTCAAAATATAAAAAGAAGAAGAGAGATAGAAGTGAACTAACGAAAGACGTTCCAATGACAGAATCTGCAGCCAATCCTTCTTTGTCATCTATTAAAGCATCTAAAATCAGCATGAAAATGCACTGGATGTTGTGACATTTGGGGTTCACCAAGGCCACTAAGTGGTTCAGTAAACATCTAGGCTGTGTCTAGACTGGCAAGTTTTTCCACAAAAGCAATTGCTTTTGTGGAAAAACTTGCCAGTCTAGACACAGCCTAGATGTTTACTGAACCACTTAGTGGCCTTGGTGAACCCCAAATGTCACAACATCCAGTGCATTTTCATGCTGATTTTAGATGCTTTAATAGATGACAAAGAAGGATTGGCTGCAGATTCTGTCATTGGAACGTCTTTCGTTAGTTCACTTCTATCTCTCTTCTTCTTTTTATATTTTGAAGACAGATGTGCATATTTGTATTCATATGTGCCAGTGGTAAATTGGATTTCACATGTGTCATCCTGATTCTACAGCATATCTAAATCCCTTTGGAACTGGAAAAGTACTTTAATAAATATAAGATTGACCATGAAATAAAAAACCAAATCCTGTTTAGATTTACCAGGAAAGTTTCAGACAACCTTGTATATCATTTCTGACTTCTCAGTTATCTGCAGTCAAAGGTCCAAATCTCTTTCCCCTGAAATGAATGGCAAAAATCACTATTAAATTAAATGGGAACAGATTCAGACCCCAGAAACTTCTTGTTTTGTTGTAAAGGATAACAGTTCAGTGCTTTACAGCTCCAGATGATTGAAAACTTCACTTTCTGCATAAGTTCAATATACACATTGTCTGCCAATGCACTCTACATTTTACTACTATCAAAATATTCTAGATTAGAGATAGATAGATAGATAGATAGATAGATAGATAGATAGATAGATAGATAGATAGATAGATAGTCTTGTGTGCATTTACACATGTATACACACACATTATCTTAGCATACAAACTGAAACCATCCAAACTACTGGTTCTTTGTATATTAAAATTCTTTTAATACTGGTCCATATATAAGATAAGCAGGCTCATTTTTTGTATGTATCTGTAAGAAATAGGCTTATAGACCATGTTATGTGCTCAGTAGTTGCTTTGAAGCCTGAAGAGCTTATAAATTCCTAAAGTATGGTGTATACATTCCTATATAAAATAAAATATACACAGTCCTTCCAATAATGTCACTCTTTATTATGTTTAAATTATTTTGTATAATGTTATAGTGGATTACAAGCCATGCCGCATTCTGGATATGCTCTGTCACAAATATATTTTAGAGCAAGATAAAGACATATTCAGAATTATTCACTAATAAATATTAAGTAGAGGGTTTGGTAGGCTTTCTTTCTTTCTTTCTTTCTTTCTTTCTTTCTTTCTTTCTTTCTTTCTTTCTTTCTTTCTTTCTTTCTTTCTCCTTATAAAAAACAAATCAAACCAATATAGTAGTGTGAAAAAAAACCTCCCTGAGAATTAGCATAAAATAGCTTGCCTTGTACAGTATTAGGAATTTTTGTTAAGGTTTATGTGCTTTAAAAAAAAAAGCAAAATCAATATTTTTCATTTCCCCCTAATTTAAAAATATCTAGACAACCCACATTAAAATAAAACATATTGTTTTCATTCATATTTTTTCACATTTTTTAAATAAAGCATCCGTGGCTCTTATTGAATTCAAAATGAAAATAAGTTCTCATAGGAATGCATTACTTCAAATTAAATGAAGTAAATGTAAGGTAATCATCCTAGCATTGATTTCTTCTTGATATTTCAGACTCCAAACAGTGGCCACTCTAGAATGAGGCTCTCTGGGTTTGAGTTTTATTCCTAGTAACATATCCATCTTCCTTATTATATATTGTGATTTTTTTAACATAACTCTTCTCTTTGATAGAAATCTGTTGCAACTGTCCAGATTCACCAATAGTAGTTCCTGTAAGTGACTGTCATGTAAATCTGCCATGCACAGGGGCTGTGTCTAGAATGGCAAGTTTTTCTGAAAAAGCAGCTGCTTTTGCGGAAAAACTTGCCAGCTGTCTACACTAGCCACTTGAATTTCCACAAGAACACTGATTTCCTACTGTCTGAAATCAGTGCTTCTTGCAGAAATACTATGCTGCTCCCGTTCGGGCAAAAGTCCTTTTGCACAAAGCTTTTGCTCAAAAGGGCCAGTGTAGACAGCTCAGATTTGTTTTGCGCAAAAAAGCCCCGATCGCGAAAATGGCGATCGGGGCTTTTTTGCGGAAAAGCGCGTCTAGATTGGCACGGATTCTTTTCTGCAAAAAGTGCTTTTACGGAAAAGCATCCATGCCATTCTAGACGCTCTTTTCCGCAAATGCTTTTAATGGAAAACTTTTCCATTAAAATCATTTGTGGAAAATCATGCCAGTCTAGACGTAGCCTGAGTGTTGCTTATAGGGCAATGCTTTGAGTTATTTCTAAAGAGGAAATAATACATAGTTCTTGTTACAGCTGCTTTTCACTGTTACGGTTTCTCAGGAAACTTTCAGGTTAAAACTTGTGAGTGCTTTGCTGGATCTGGGCCAGGGTATTTTATCTACCTCTACTAAATGGACATTTTTGACAATGTTTTCTGTACCACCAAAAATATCTGATGAATTTTCTGATGGCTCTGGACGAGGAGGAAAACAGTACCCTGACACTATGTAGACTCTTACTGGCAGATGCTACTCAGTATAATTGGCATAACCACTGTTGATCTCTAGAAAGACCACTGTTTCTGGTACAGAGCCATAAGCGCATTGCAAATCCAGGATGATGTCTGATAGGGTATGTCTACACTAGCCACCCTAGTTTGAACTAGGGTGGTTAATGTAGGCAACCGGAGTTGCAAATGAAGCCCGGGATTTGAATTTCCCGGGCTTCATTTGCATATTTCCGGGCGCCGCTATTTTTAAATGTCCGCTAGTTCGGACTCCATGCCCGCAGCTACACGCGGCACGAACTAGGTAGTTCGGAGTAGGCTTCCTATTCCGAACTACCGGTACACCTCGTTCCACAAGGAGTAACGGTAGTTTGGAATAGGAAGCCTAGTCCTAACTACCTAGTTCATGACGCGTGTAGCCACGGGCACCGAGTCCGAACTAGCGGACATTTAAAAATGGCGGCGCCCGGCAATATGCAAATGAAGCCCGGGAAATTCAAATCCCGGGCTACATTTGCAACTCCGGTTGCCTACATTAACCACCCTAGTTCGAACTAGGGTGGTAGTGTAGACACACCCATAGTGTGTTGACAAATCAGTGATTAGAAGAAAATGGGTCAATGCTAATGTGAGTGGCTGCTGTTCACAAAGGGTGGGTAGCTTCCGTTTTCAGTTGAACGCATTCCAAATTGTTGGCATAGAGCAATGTTTCCCAATTTTATTTGGCCATGGAACCCTTTTAAACTCGAAAGAATTTTGCAGAACCCCTAATGACAGTCTAATATATGGACATCAGCCCTGAGTAGTGACATCATCATCCCCACTCCCTGTCATTACACAGGGACACTTATTGTGGCAAACGCAACTGAAAATTGTTTTCAATAAAATTCATTAATTCTTAAATATTAATTATTATTTTTTAAATATGATAAAATTTTATTGTAATGAAATTTTCTTGCTGAACCCTTATTTTCACTTTGAGGAACCTCTGGGTGCCATGGAACACCATTTGGGAAACACTGGCATAGAGGACTAAAGAAGTTGCCCCCAAGGAACTTCTGGATGACTCCTGGGACCTGAGTTAAAGAGGACAGTGTCTACACTGAAAAGCAATAGGGCTTGGACCTCGGGTTTCAATTAACTCATGCTTAGATCCTTCAGCCCTGCATGGTCCTGGGACCCTTCATCCAAGCCCGGGGTTGGCAGAATGGTAATGCAGCAAAGAGTCTTTGCCTTGAGCCTGGGCATGCAAACATGCCCTAAGAAGTCAGTAGTGTGCCAGGAGTACCATGACATGGAGGTAAGCACTGAATGTGCTTCAGCCTCAAGGCTTTGTAGGTGAGAGCTCTGGTTCATTTGAAAAACTTCAACTTGTGGCTAAAGTGAAGGAATGTCTTACTAGTGCTAGCAAGAAAGGGAAAGGTTGTAGGTATCTTAAGCACCATGACTTAAGAAGATCTAACTGAGTGAGATAATAGTAGTTCTTATTTGGGCCCCCAGTAGTGCCCAGGGACAGACAGTCAGGGATTAGGTGTCTACAGGCCTACAAGCCATGTTTCCCCTCCGCCCCCATTCAAGCTTCTGTCTAAAGCAAATAGTGCTTGAAGGTTTCCATGCCACCCTCAGTTAGTGCTGTATGTCATTGGAGACCATCTGCACTGGCTACCTACCCAGTCTTTGTGCCCCGAATGGGCTTGTACCCAGCTCTACTTTCTAGCAGTCACATCAAGCTCCACACATAGTTCTGCAGCTTCTGTACTGCCTACTGTGTGCCCAGCTCTTCTGTGTTTCTCTCCGCATCCAGCTTCTCTGTTGCTCTTGGCTTCTAAGTATTCAGTTCTTCCATGGTTCCTGGAAAAGCGACAAGGAGTCCTGTGGCACCTTATAGACAAACAGATTTATTGGAGCATAAGCTTTCATGGGCAAAGACCCACTTAGTCAGACGAAGTGGGTCTTTGCCCATGAAAGCTTATGCTCCAATAAATCTGTTTGTCTATAAGGTGCCACAGGACTCCTCGTCACTTTTTCAGATTCAGATTAATGTGGCTACCCCTCTGATACATGGTTCCTGGGTCACTGTCCCTCTGCCAAGCCAGGAGAAAGGGGAGGAACCTGATGTTAATCACAGTCTCCAGCCCAGCAGGCTCAACACAATATTATTCAAAATCACTGCAATTGAAGCAAAGCACTAGGTAGCTCCAAGGATAATGAAATAACCCAGAATCAAATTCTGCAATGGTCCAATGGATCAACAATAAAATACCGTAACAGTAATTTCCCCCTTAAATAATTGAGAATGATTGATAAAAGTCAAAGCACTTTAGTGCTTATTTATGAATACCAAATGTGGAAGACGGCCAGTGAATAAGCTTCTTATAATAAAATCTGTAAAAAAAATGCTGCAAATAAGTCTAATCAAAATCAATACTAGTGAAAAACCTTTAGAATTTGCAAAGGACAGGTCATTAAAAGCTGTAATCAAAACTGCCTCTATGCAGTGGCCAGCTCTAAATGCAGACTGAAAAGCATAAGGCTGGGCATGATTCTGAACAGAATTTTACTAAGAATAATGTGCTCATACTATATAAACACAAACAATTAACAAAATTAGATTGGAAGAATTTACAATGAAGGTGAGATTCACTAATCCACATTTAAATTAAAATAGGAATGTCCTTGAAACAAAAAAGGAGGGATTAAAATAATAGGAACAAACTCGTAATGTCCTTAGAAGAGTATCAGACTCTGAAGAATAACTTTCCATTTCATCATCAACCTTAGCCAGGACTAGCCCACATAGGAGATATACTTCCTTGACACGACAATTTAAATAAATGAAGGCCACGTTAACACCACCCTATGTCAGAAACCTATTGACCACTAGCTATTCTTACCTACATTCCCCTAGTTTCCATCCATGATCGGTTGTTTACATTCCGCCCCTAAGACACCACCACATTTACTCCAATCCCACAGAC